ATCATGTTTCTTTAGCATACTTCATGCTTGCATCCACTTGTATTGCATACACCGAGGCTCGGCGCGTCATTCTAACAATGCATTGTCGTTTAAACTGCTTCTTTGAAAACGTGCTTAGACCGCATGCTATTTAATTGATTCATATGCTATACTAGTAGCCGAGCCTAGTAATTGCATATCGCATGTGTTGCATTAGTCATCTTACGTAAGTTAGGATCATGTATTTTTCTAACTCTTTTGTTTCTTTTCGCTCACCTCGGAGTATTAGGTGAGCTCTTTTGTGCTTAAGCATATTGCATGAATGTGATTGTTGTCATGTTTAGCATACTTGCCATGAGGCTAATTGCTTAATTAATAAACTGTTTGAATACCTGTGGATGAAGGCTAATTGCTTGAATTGGAATAATTTGAGTAATGTTCATATGCAATCACTTTTTCAAGGGATACGTATTCAAAACAAAACATGAATCGAAATGTTCCAATTCTTGCAAATTAGTCTATACTTGTGTGTGTGCGCATCACATAGTATCTGCAGAGTTATTATCACAACACATCACCATTAATGCAACCCATCACAGCATTTATTACAACAGCACTCCCCGCCGGAACAGAGCCTCGATCACCCTAAACAAGATGAGCTATGGCACAGGCTTTCGGCGGAAAAAGCACGTCACAAGAGACAGGAAAAATGATGACCAAAGGATATAAGCAAGGATAAGAGAAAAAAAAGAAGGTCATCTGACGGAGCCAGCCTTCCTGAGCCGGAGTCTGGAGAACCTGGGCCGGTCCGACCCATCCACCCGGGAATCGATACATCATCACTTGCCATGAGGCTAATTGCTTAACTAATAAACTGTTTGAATACCTGTGGATGAAGGCTAATTGCTTGAATTGGAATAATTTGAGTAATGTTCATATGCAATCACTTTTTCAAGGGATACGTATTCAAAACAAAACATGAATCGAAATGTTCCAATTCTTGCAAATTAGTCTATACTTGTGTGTGTGCGCATCACATAGTAATGCTAGCCTAATAAACGGAACAAAAGTATATAATGTAAATAAAATTCATATAATGATTAGTAGAGACCGATCTTTGATCGGGCGAGCGGAGGTGCTCAAATCATGACCTTCCCCTCTCGTACCTAAGTTCTCGAGCCGAGACGATCTTGGTGATGACGGACACGTAGCCTTTGGAACGAGTCATGGGCTTCCTAAATTTTCCAAAAATATTTAGGTGGCGACTCTATATCTGGCAAAGCAGTCTATTTTTGAAAATTTGATTCAAAATTGATTTTTCAAGAGATTTGTCGAATTGGGACTCTTTGGTGTTTATCTATTTCACATTGCACTTCTGAGATCAGATTCAAAACCACGGGGTCCGATACTGTAGGGCTTATTCGTCTTTCTGAAAGGAGCGCAAAAAAGTCGAGCTACAGTGCCCCTTGGGGGCCAACCTAAGTGTTGCCACCTAAAACTTATATACATACACAAGCTCTCTTAAAGTTTCAATGTGGGACAAGCCTTACAAGGAAATCCACCTTTTATTCTTTAATTGTCCATTCTACGAACCCGAAAACGACATCAACTTCCCATTCACTCATAAATGGTTTTGACGAATCGTCTTCACCATGTGACTTGCTATGTGGTAAGGAACACGTCACCTCTTTGGACCCACCCCAGAAGACGTGTGGGACCCACACAAATTTAGGCCATTTGGGCTCAAAATTGGCACAAAATAAGCCTATAAAATTATAAATTCTAACAAGAACGTCGCTGAACGTCAAGAATATCACGCACATACTCACTGGAATGTCCAAAATATTATCGAAAATAAAGATGAAGAAATGAAGAAATTATAGTGAAGAAACATAAGAAAATGTGCTAAATATTGATTAATTGAAAGAAGAAGAAAAAAAACGTAGCAACAAGAAACAACAACAATGGAAAAAATATAAGTTATTTTTTAATTTCTGTAGAGTTTAAGCAAATAATCTCTTATATTGATCAAACTGAAAAGCATGCTTTAAAATTATAAAATTGTTACAGTTTCAAAGTATGATTCTATTTAAGCATTTATTTTTGTTAATCAAACTGAAAAATATGTTATGAACTATAAAACTTTATAATAAAAGTATGTTATAAAATTACAAATTTTTTTAGTATTAAAGCTTATTATGAAACTATACAAATTTCAATACCAAAAAAAATTGAAACTGAAAAGTTTTACAATCTTCACCGCCTATAACTAAAACTCAAAAAAAAATTATTTAAAATTTGAAAATTTTCTCTATTAAAATAGGAAAAGAGAAGTATGTAGCAGAGAAAAAATTAGAAAAACTGGGAGATCAAAGGAGAGAGACAGACATAAAGAGAATATTGTACTAGTAACTATTTTTTTGTTTAGATTTAGCCAAATCTAATGTAGATCTGAGTAGATCTACTCATCTTCTTCGTTAAAAACTCATATCTAAGTAGATTTGAGTAGATCAAAGTAAGAAATCAGTGGTTTCTGGTGAAACCCCAATCGATGGTGGTCGCTAATGACTGTTTATTATAAAGAGAAAGATAATAAAAAAAATGTGGTCACTGAATATCAGAAAGAGAAAAATAAAGAAAAGAAGAAAGACACAAGACCTTCAGGTCTAGGGGTGAGCAGCGGATATACCGATCCATCCAAACTGACCGAACCAAACCGATCCGCCGCATTTTGGACAGATGCGTAATGACAAACGAACAGTTGCGGATTGATTTTTTCCAATCCGCCTAGTTTTGGATGGATGGCGGATTTGAGGTTCATTTGGCGCAACCGAACCGCTAAATCGCGAGCATCCCTAATAATTTGTAAGACTTTGTGTTTTTAATTTTTTTTAGATATTCTGTTTGTGTTTTCAATTGAAAAAGAATTTAAATATTCTGTTGAATATATATTCTTGAAAAAGAGTTTTCAACTTGAATATATTTTTTGGTTTATAAATCTAACTCTAAAAATAATAAATAAAAAATATGATATATGCTGGTTAGTTTTTATTTTCAAAAACAGATATAGATGTAACAAAATAGAGACATACAATCTCTACTACTGCTCTGTTCATGGTTTTGGTGGTTTGAATTATTTTTATATTTTAAAAACCACATATTGTAATACTTTATGTGGATGAGACACGCTTTAATTGTAATATATGGATGAGGCATGCAGTGATTGTAATATTTTAAAGTTTCAAACTTTCTTTCTTGAAATGAGACATGTAATGATTGTAATACTTTTTTAAGTCATTAACTGTAATATTCTTTTCTCTTTTTTTCTTTTTTTTTTTTGAGGAAGTGCACAAATTAAATTATGTTGAAAATTTATAAAATTTTAAACTGCCAAACTGATTCGCATCCATCTGTCGATCTGTCAATTCGTCAATCCGCTCAATCCATATCTGCCGAATTGGCAGACGAATGGTGAATTAGAGATTTCGTGACTACGACCGACCCGCACCCACCCCAATTTAGGTCTATCCAAAAAGTTTTGAAATTAAATATAATACACTTTTTCTAAAAAGGACTTCCGAATTTGTGCAACTAAGATCCATGTGAATGTCGTTAAAAAAAAAAAAAAAAAAAAAAAAAAAAAAAAAAAAAAAAAAAGATCCATGTGAATGTAAATGGATAATTATTGAACCATTCCGTCAGGGCCCAAGCTCACGAAGCAAGCGAGATCCAGAGACAAATAGTCCAGCAAGGTTCAAGGGGGTGGTTGGGCTCCGGAGGCGAGTTGGACTTTTCAAATGTTGGGTCCAATTACCCCAACTATAAAAATTTAAATAATTCTATTATATACCTTCATATATTTAGGCATGGTTTAGAAAGAGGATTTGGGGTGTTTTTGGCTAAAATAGTCACAAAAAATAAAATAGATTTTTTAGTTTAATAAGACAAAATATCACATTTAACTCATAATTGTTACATTCTTTCTCTCACAAAAAATTTAAAAAAGTCAAAAGTCCTTCTCAAATCAAACTTTTTAACCCCAAATTAAAATAATTAAAAAAAACCAAAAGTCAACCCACTATCACACATTTAGAAAAAAAAATTGCTACCTCATTTTTGGTACCTCAGACTAAAATAGTTACCTCATTTTTTCTTAGAAATTTTCTTCACACAATTAGGATTTGCGATATATATTTCTTATTTTCTTTTATTTTTTTGGTATTATTAGGATTTGTTTATGATTTTTTTATATTTAGTGATTGTTTGGTATATGTTAAAATAGTACATATATCATTTTAAACTCAATTCATATTTTACATTTTTTCATAGAAAAATCAAAAAATATATTAATCTAACACTTTTCAAACAACCCCTTAATTATGACTTCTTCTTTTTTTAATTATAACTTAAAGGCCTCGTTTGTTTAGAGAGTTAGAGGGGGGATTGGAATTGGTAGTGAGGTAGGACCAGTAATATTGTGTCTGTTTTGAGAGATGGGGAGAGGATTGATAATGAGCTCCGGATTAGGATGGGCCTCCCCAAGGGGATTCGAATGGATCTCCAGAACTTGGTATTAGAAAAATAGTCCGGCGGACTAGAAATTTTTTTTTTATTTATTTTTTACATATCGGATATTTTTTTTTAACATTTAATGTTTAATTTTTTGTATTTTTTATTAAGTAAAAATTATTATTTTATTTGTTTTATTTTTTTCTGGAAATTTTTATTTTATTTTTATTTTTTAAAAATTTTTTACATGTTGGTATTTTTATTAAAACATTAATGTTTAATTTTTTTGTATTTTTTTATTATTTTATATTTATTTTATATAAAAATAATTTGACAATCCCTACACTAGCAACTATCATCAAAACAAACACAATTTTATTTAATTTCCTCACTATCAATCTCCTCTATTCTATCTCTGAAAACAAACAATGCCAAAAAGTATAAATTATATTATTTTTAAAAATATATATAATATAATACCCAAAAAAGAAAAGAAAATGGGAAATATATATCGCAAACCCTAATTGCGTGGAAACCTCTATTTAAAGGACAATCCGCCGTTTTCTTCAATCTCGCAGTCTCTGAAAAGTGTAATCTCCTTTCTCCTATTCGATTTATAGATTTCAGTCTGTGTGTTTGTATATGTGCATTAATTTTCAAATATTATACGATTCGATTATATATATATATACAGATCTTTCTATGGTGTTCCTGCATTTATTTACCTTCTCCTTGTGTTAATTGTTTGAATGTTCAAGGAGATATAACGAATGCAGAAAGCGACAAGGTTGGCTTACCAGCCCATTGCGCTTCTCTTCTGTTGCCTTGGCGTCAAATGGACCTACCGATACTAAAAAAAATCCCCCTATTTTCTATTTTGTTATTGCTTGTTTTTGTATTATGCATTCAATAGAATCATTATTTCATAATTTTGTTTTATATTTTTGAAGGAAATGGCAAATGATGAATGTTTTCTTATCCTACACACTGAATAATCGTGTTGATTACTATACTCCGCTTATTGTCTGATGCCAATTCTTTCTCTTGTTTTGGTTGAATTTTATGTTTTTATTTTCTTTTTTCTTTTTCTTTTTTTGGGTGTGTTCTGCATAATCAATCGACTCTTATGATTTTGATGCTTTTATAGTTTTCTACACTTTTTGTTTGTTGTATTCATTCAGTGATGAGAAAAAGCAGACGGGCGGTCTGAATCTGATGCCGTGTTGATTGTCTGCATATTTCCATTTATTTATTTGGAATGTCTCTGAGATCAACATTTTGTGTGAATTTTGATGTTTTTGTCTTCGAAAATTATGAAAACGATTTTTAAATTCTCTGATCATTGTTTCTGTTTATTTGTTGGAAATTGAGTTCTTGATCTTGGTACTAATTTGCTTTGCTATGATGAAATAGCTAAAATTATGTCTGACACTAGTTCGCCTGTAAATACCGAGACCAAAGCAACAAAACCTTCAATCTGTCTCAACGGTGATCGATCTACAGTCGCCGAAACATTCGGAGAAAACGGAAAGGGAGCTATTGAGCTCTCGGAATCTTGCGGGATGGGCGAGACGGTAAGAGAGAGAGAGAGAGGGGTCTCTCGAAGATCGATCGATCGATTCTCTTTCTGACTCCGCCCATGCCATTGGATTCCGATTGCTCCTCCCTCTCCTCCTCTCTCCTTTCACAATCATACCCACCTCCAGATCATTTTGTTTCTGTTTGTTTGTTGGAAATTGCTTTGCTATGATGAAGTTGCTAAAATTATGTCTGGACATATGAATTGTCTATGATTTGTTATATGCTTCTCCTGAGCAGAATGGGTTTGATTACTATTGTGAAAATATTTGTTTGGATTTTTAATTTGGGACAATTACACTGCAGTGGAGTTTGTAAAAATAAATTATAAATTAATAAAAAAAGGTTTATAATTTTAATTATTAATATTTATAAAAAAAAAATTACTTTTTATAATTTTTTTTTTCCTGCTATCAGTGTTGATTTTAATTGACACTGTTGCATTGAGTCTTAATTGATGATTTTTAAACAAATCAATAACTAACCTCGCAAACAACGTTGTGATGTTTTAGCAAGTCTTTAATCATAGTGATATTATAAGGTACATATGTTTGGTGGATGTATTATAGTCTTTTCCTAATCATTTGTTTTTTAGAAGAATGTTCTTTCTAAGAGACAGATTATCCGATAAGGAAAAAAAAGATGAGATTTCCCTTATATGATTCATTTCTTAAGTGTAGTTTAGCTGTCATTGTCTTCAAGGTGAAATAGAGGGTCCTTTGCCCTTGTCCATTTCAATGTCTTTATTATTGGTCTGATAGTACAAGTTCACCATGTGCTCCAATTTTTTTAAACAATATTTGAGCGTTGTGCTGTTTTTACAGGGTCTTTATCTCTCTAATATTTTAAACTTAATAATTATCCTCCTTAAATTATTTAAATTTGAATATTAAATTATTCTATTAAATATTTGAATGGAAAATTATTAAGTGTTGTACACATAATAATTATATCAAATTTTTACAAAAAATAAAATAAGGTAATTTGGTCATAAAATTTTATATAATCATTATGTATACAGTACTTGATAATTTTTCATCTAAATATCTAATAAAAAAATTTAATATTCAAATTCAAATAGTTTGAGGAGAATAATTGTTGAGTTTAAAATATTAAGTGAGTAAAATATAAATGGTTAATACTTTGAAAGGGTTTAATATAATTTATCCAAACCTTTATTGTAAAAGTTGGCAGAGCTCTCACGTGAAAGTTTTTTATTTTTTATTTTTTAACACTACATTGTAATAGTTAATAATTTTATTATCAATTTCCTACCTCAAAATGGGATAATTTTGTCCATATAAAATAAATATATCACATTTATTAGCTTCTTGAAAAATACTAAATTTATTTATACTTTGAGCAGTACTATATGTCCTAATTTTTCTTCTACTTTTGTTCAATATCTCCATCCAAGTGAAGGTAATTAATGCCAATTATTTACTTCTTTGGGCATATGTTAACATGGATTAATCTATATATATAAGGAAAAGGGAATTTTTTGTGAGAAATTTTTTAGGAGTTTCAAATTTTTATTTTAATTTTTTTAATTTTAAATAATTATTTTTATTTAATAATTACACATAGGAAAAAAAATGAAAAAAATGAGTTTTATTCATATAAAGAGAATCTTACACTCTCATCTCATTTAGTGAGTAGTTTGTGGGAGTTTTAATATCTCATATTAAATTTTTTGATTTTTTTAATTTTAAATAATTAATAAAATTTTCATTGACTAACTTTTATTTGAAAATCTCACATCGAAAAAAAAAAAAAAAAAGTGAATTGTTTAGGTTGGGTAAGTTGGAAGCTTTTATCATAGTTTAGATTGATAGTTCACTAAACGGTACGGTGAAAATGTCTCTCTAATAGGAGACCAACTTATATAAGGGGAATTTTTTTTAAGGTCCCTAATAAGAGTAATTTACAGCATAAAGGACACCAAAAATAGAAATGATGTCTCAGGTCCCTCACTAACGACAGGCGCGTTTTTAATTTTTTTTTTGATCAAAATACCCTTCACAGATCAACATAGAATGCTCAACTCGATTGCATTCCGACGACTCAATTCATTCCAAACATCCAACCATTTTCATGAATAAGAGAATATGAGAATTAGGGTTTCACTATCATCTTCACTGTCGCCATTACGGTTTCATTATCTTCTGCCAAACTCTTTTCAATTCGTTCCTCACAAATTTCTCTGACCCGTTTTCATTGTTCATCGTCATCTCAGTTCATCTTCATCTCATTGCATCTTCATCTCAAGCCATTTCAGTTCGAAATTAGGATTTTCATCATCACTCTGGTAAGTTTTCTCCAATCCAACTAGTTTTTCTTCGAAACACGGTTGACTAGCCTTACATTAATAAGGATTTCAATTTCGTAATAAAAACCTACATGAATTTGAAAAATGTTATTTCTCTAAGTTTCGAACTTATTCTTGAAAATGTTTGTATGATTTTGTCTGTAAATTTCTCTGTCATTTGAATTTCTCTGGTATTTCCTTGATCTATGTGTTTTCTTTGAATTTTCTCTGGCATGTTTCTTCCCCCATTTGTTTCTGGTTATTCCATATTTTTCTCTGGTTTTCTGTAAATTTCTCTGGCATTTTCATATTATGGAATTCATTTTTTTTTTGGCTTGCCATGTTTAATTTTCTCTGTCATATATGTAATTTTCTCTGGCTTGCCATGTGTAATTTTCTCTGGTATGTTTATTTTGTTCCATTCTTAAATTTTCTATGGCCACATCACTTTTCTCTTTTGTGTGGTTCTGTCATGTTCCATTTTCTCTAGTTGTTTGTAAATTTCTCTGACATTTTCATATTATGGAATACACACGTGGTTAATTTTCTCTAGCTTACCATGTGTAATTTTCTCTGGTATGTTTATTTTGTTTTATTCTTGAATTTTCTCTGGCCACATCACTTTTCTCATTTGTGTGTGCCTGTTATGTTCAATTTTCTCTGGTTGTCTATAAATTTCTCTGGCATTTTCATATTATGGAATGACATTTTCTCTAGTTTGCCTTGTTTAATTTTCTTTGGCATATATGTAATAGTTTCTGGCTTACCATGTGTAATTTTCTCTGATATGTTTATTTTGTTCCACACTTGAATTTTCTATGGCCACATCATTTTTCTCCTTTGTGTGTGTCTGTCATGTTCTATTTTCTTTGGTTGTCTGTAAATTTCTCTGTGATTTTTATATTATGGAATGCATATTTTCTCTAGCTTGCCTTGTTAATTTTCTCTGGCATATATGTAATTTCTCCTGGCTTGCCATGTGTAATTTTCTCTGGTATATGTTTAGTTTGTTCCATTATTGAATTTTCTCCGGCCACATCACTTTTCTCCTTTGTGTGTGTTTGTTATGTTTCATTTTCTCTTGTTGTCTGTAAATTTCTCCGGGATTTAATGTTGACATCTTTATGTTTTCATTGTCTAAAAATGACGAAACGTAAAAGCAGCAAAACACCATAAACACCAAGTAAGAAACAGAAACTCTATAAATAAGATAATCTAATTTGAATATTTCTTAAAACTAACTATACCTATAATTTGTATGCAGTGTGGATTGTGGCCTCTTCATTTGCTACATAATGAGACAATATAGCAACCATGAACCTATCAGCTCAACATTGTCAAAACAAGACGTAATGTTCACGAGGACAAAAAATCATAGAGAGATTGCGATCGAAATTGGCCGGTCATGGACAGAACCAATTGAAATATCACCAAAAAGTATAATAGTGAAAGCATACTAGTGAAATGAAGACAATGTACACAATGTAATAACGAATGACCCTTCAATTTTTATTTTTTTTTGTACATTGAAGAAATGATGTTTTTGACATAGATGTATACATATTGTTTTAACTAATGTAAATTTCATAACTATCAACGGTTAAATATTTTTTTTATAATGCATATTTAGTGGTGATTATCAACACAATCCACGCAAAGAAAATTGTCTAAAGAAATTTTTCTTGTATGAAGTTACCAGAATTTCACAGAAAAATTTAACTCGTATCGTGCTAAAATGGTGCCTATATGATCATGTAATTTGTAATGCACTGTGTTGGTACGAAACAATCATCAAATTCAAAAAACACAATGCACATTGTAGTTTTCTCTGCTATTAGCAAATTTCTCTAGATGAATTTGAGCACACAAAACACAGTGCACTATTAGCAAATTTCTCTGGATGAATTTGACCTCACAAAACATAGTGCAGAAAGTAATTTTCTCTGCTAGTGGCAAATTTCTCTAGATGAATTTGCCACAATGCACATAGTAAATTTCTCTGAATGAATTTCACCTCACAAATTTCTCTAGATGAATTTGACCTTACAAAACATAGTGCGCAAAGTAATTTTCTCTGTTACTGGCAAATTTCTCAGGATAAATTTGCCACAATGCACATAGTAATTTCTTTGGATGAATTTGACCTCACAAAACGCAATGCACATTTCAACAAACACAATGCACATAGCAAATTTCTCTGCTATAAGAAAATTTCTCTGGATCAATTTGATTGGTATTATAAAGGCACTCCCAAAGTATGTTTCTAAAAACGCAACATAAAAAGTAATTTTCACTGCTATTAAAAAATTTCTCTGGATGAATTTGATTGGTATTATATATGCACTGTCCAAAAAGTACATTTCACAAAACAAAATACACAAAGTAATTCTCAAATGTATTATTCAATCAATAAATGTAATATCCTCAACTATTTAACAAAGGTTCCTTGCATGTCCTCTTATTATGGCGATCAATCCTATCACATTGACTACACTTAATCACCCTTTTAAACTCTTCAGTAGAAGCAATTTTGTTCTTCTTTGGCCTCCCAGCTGGTCTCTTACTCAATACAAGTAAAATCATAGCATCATCAATTCAATTCGCATGAAACATTAATGATAATAGTATCATTCCCATATTTGCACAGCAACAACACTGCACTGTCCATCTAAACTGAAACAAAAAATACCAAAAATAACTGTTCAATATAAAAATATTTCACAAGAACAACATAAAAGTCTAGAGAAATTTCTAATAATTATAATTTTCTCTGGATTATAATACCTACCTTATAATGTTTTCTGGACTCAAATAAAAGTCCAGAGAAATTTACAAACTTAAATTCACCTTCAAGATAACAAAAACAAAATTACAGAAGAATTAATGAATCCAGAGAAAATCACAGAGATATTCAATGCTAACTATTAAACACAATCACAGACAAAAATCACACAGAAGATCAGTTATCAAATTATAAGCTTCTCTGTGATTTTCACTGGACTACAAGCTTATAATTTTCTCTGTGTGATTGTGCATTATTGGACTCAAATCAGA